AAAGTGGAAAAAAACAAAAGGAGATTTCTTCCAACAATCTGTTCTCTGAACTGCTTAGAAAGTTAACAACTGGTTCTCCCGAATAGATGCAAACTGTCTCAATCCCACCACTTCAGAAGATCCATCTATACAATGCTAATTCAGACTGCAGATAGTTTCTCCTTATTTTCTGTCAACCAAATCTGTTGCATAAAATATTTTCTCTTTTAGCTATTTCCATTCATCTATGCAACAACTCTGTGGTTCCCAGAGCCAAAGGTTTTAGCAGCTTCCCTCTCCATCCAGGCAGACGGAGAAGAGAAACACTCTTAAATTTTCCATTTGTAGGCTGTCTGTCTCTATTTTTCTTTTTTCTTTGCTATTTTGCAGGAAACTATCGAAACAGGATGTTTTGAATTGAGATTCTGAATGCTCTTAAGTTGGTGCGAGACAAAGAAGAACAAACAGATTTTGCATTCATTATATCCCAAGCCATCCTTTTCCAGAAAAGTAGAAGCAGGACTGTGAGATGATCTTAGCCAGGAATGAATCAACCAACCTCCCTCCCTCCCTCCCTCCCTCCCTCCTTCTTATCCAACATTTGTTGCTGATATACTTCTATATACCCTGGAGTTACTTCCATTAGACTGCAATATGCTTAAAGGTAAAGGTTTTCCTGGCACATATTATGTGCTAGTTGTTCCCGACTTTAAGGGGCGGTGTTCATCTCCGTGTCAAAGCCAAAAAGCCAGCGCTGTCCGAAGACATCTTCGTGCTCATGTGGCTGGCATGACTAAAAAGCGCACAGGACACTGTTGCCTTCCCACCAAAGGTAGTCCCTATTTTTCTACTTGCATTTTTACATGCTTTTGAACTGCTAGATTTGCAGAAGCTGGGACAAGTAATTGGAGTTCACATCATTAGGTGGCACTTGGGATTCGAACTGCCGACCTTCTGACCTTTCTGATCAACAAACTCAGCATCTTAGCCACTGAGCCACCTCGTCCCTTTGCATCATAGAGAATAGTTTATGGTCATTGTATGTATATGCACAGTATACCCATACAACAAAATTCACATAACACCCAGAGACCAGGCCCAACACACATGACAATCACCACATTACCTCCAATAGACCGATTAGATCCCACAATTGGTGACAATCACCAATTACCTCCAATAGACCGATTAGATCCCACAGATTAGGCCTCCTCCGAATTCCATCCACTGGCCAATGCCGACTGATGACCACCTGGAGAAGGGCCTTCTCTGTGGCTGCTCCGGCCCTTTGGAACGAGCTCCCCGTGGGGATTCGGACCCTCACCACCCTCCAGGCCTTCNTTCGCACTTGCCTCACCGGCCATGAGGCTCACCACATGTCACTGCAGCACAGTGATGCACATAGAAAAACTATTATATCAGAGGTGGATTGCTCCCGGCTCAGCCTGGATCAGGTGAACTGGTAGTAATGGTGGTGGGAGGTTCCACTCACCTGCTTGGATGTTCTGCGCATGCATAGAAGCATCACGCACATGCGCCCGAACTGTAGTAAAAAAAATTGCAACCCACCACTGGATTAGATACATAGTTTTTCTATGTAGACCTATATCATGATCTATTGGGGATTTGGAGAGGTGATAAATTCTGTATTTGTTCTGTTACTCCTGTTATAGACCTCAAGGAAATCACTCTATATACCTCAAGTGATTATTAAAGTCACTGTTGTTCTACAATTTACTTTATAATTTTGGAAAATAATTAAAAATAAGCAAATAATAGAATCCAGTGTCCCCACACATCTCTTCTTTTTTAAACAAGATGACAGTTGATTACATGTATTTATCCATTATACTGTTGTGTTGTCTGATCATGTGAATAATTTGCTTATGTTAGGGTACCACATGCATGAACATGTTTTATTAGATATGATTGATTGAAAATAGCCTCCTCACACTCCCATACCACTAATAATTTAGCATAAATAAAATGCAAAAGAAGAAATGGTGATTATGAGCTGAAGCTCAGGCACTCTGTCCAGATCCAACTGCAGTGCATCTAATTCCCTTGCTATAGTAGGATGTGTCTGATTTCTTTTAGCTTTATTATATTTAGCAAAAAAAAAAACCAACATGTTTAAAAGATTGTAAATATAAATTACTAGCTTAATAAGTGTCAACTTTATTTCAGGCAAACAGAGGAGTTCAACATTTAAATTTTTCTAGCTCTGGTCACCAAAGAGGTTATTTATTCAAAGATTTTTGTGAATGGCCTTTATTTTTCCCCAGAGTTCTGCTATTTTAAATTTTATTTGGCTTCCACCCAAAAATGACAAATCAAGCAAAGTCTTAGGATTACAAAGAACTCATACTGTATGAATCACCATTTGCAATTGACATACTGTAGAGTGTGAACTTACAGGAAACAATATAATTAGGTGGAACTGAGAAGCTGAGAAGCTTCTAACCTTATTATGCTCCTCCCTGCATGAACAAATTAGGATGTTTCCTGAAAATATCATATTCATTAATGTTATAGTAATGTAATGTCATAATCATTTGCAAACAGAAGTTCAAAAGGACTGTGCAATGATCTCCTAAAATGGATTTTGGAAGAATTTTAAGAAGAATTACAAATATGCATTGGCAAACAGCCAGCTACAGTACATCAGGATAGCGTGCATTATATCTTACAGAATAGTGGTTTAACTGCCAAGAATAGAAGAAAAAAACACACAGAACAGCTGTGAGATCAAAAGGCTAAGGAGGAATGCTAGCTTGATATGAAATCAGCAGATATGAGCATTTCTCCCCCTCAAAATGAGCTTTGAACAATTGAAGTAAAACGTGAGAAGCAGCTTCCCTATAGCTCTTGTACTAAAAAAAATATGATTTCATAATGATACTGTGAACACCTGCACAGAGATGCTCAATGAACACTCTGGTTCGAACTGCTGTGAGCAAGATCAAGGAGATCTCTTGCAACAGTGTGCTTGCCTTGATCTTGCAATGCATCTGTTCTTTGTCCTTTTTTCTCCACTCCCAAAGGCAAAAATTATACGCATAATATCAGGTTCTTGGTGAGAATTCTGAGGTTTGTGGTCATAGTCCTCAGCTGGCAATAATAGTTTTTGGAGAGCCAAGATCTCTGGATGCTAACCTCTTTCTCATTCCCAAAGGTATGGGCTTCATGACAAGAAGGAGAGCAGGTGGTAAAGGAAATTCTGTTTTATTTCTATTATTGTTATCAATTTAATTTCTGTAGCCACTCAGTTCAACAAGTGACTTTAGACAATGTACATTATATCAATGCCCTGGGTCAATTTTTCTCTAATAATAAGTTGAAAACAATCATGAACACGTATTTTATTTCTTTTTATCCTTCAACTTCATAAAAATTTACTCCAATCATCTGATGAAATGGTTTGATCCATGTAGTATGATGAAATAATGAAATTGAATATTATCAAAAGTATCACAAATTTCTTAGGTTTTTCCCCCCTCACTTAGACAACTCAGAAAACAGCCAGTTTGAAGAAAACATCATAACAAGAGCTTGCAATAATATAGTAATGTCTCTAGCAGAATATTAAGCTTGCTATTTGTTCCATATTTTTTTAAGTTTTTTTATTGTTTTAATTGAACAAAAACACAAAAGAAGAATCATCCTTTATTACATCTTGTAGAAAGGGTGTCGATTGGTTACAAATACATTTCGTGCGTTTCTTACACAATCATTACTTATACTTCATTCATATTGAATTGTACATTTTAATCAAAAATCTTTATGTATTTTACTATCAATGTACCTCAATTCTCATTTAACTACAATTATTTAAACGTGCTTTTATCTGAAATCATTTGTATTTAAAGACACAACCACCTACTGGCATTCATTCTGGGGCCATTGTTAATTCTAACCTTTGTTAACTCAACGGTCATAAACTGAAGATTACCACCAGAGATAAAAGACAGAGATAGAGCAATATAGAAATGTTAGCTTCTAAGAGAAAGAAAAAAAGTAAGCAAGCCAGCCACAGGGCAATACTGCTGAAAATCTTAATTCCAGAGGTGTGAAGGAACGTGGGTTGGATTCAGAGAAGCAGAAGAATAAAAAGTAAAAGAATTATAAAAAATACCCAAGTTCTAGGAAAGTACAAAGTATAAGAAAGGAACTTGAAACAACTCACCTTGATTGTGCTAGGTATAAATCGAAGCAGAGGGGGGCTTGGACAGATTCTGCTACCGTACCTTAAACCAGAGGTGGGCTTCAAAAATTCCAGCCACGGGTTTGCAGCCTCGTTGCTGGGTAGCCGTGGCCATGGTGGGCGTGGCCTAGTCGGCCTCCTGCACCACAGCCGGGGTGGGGGATTTTTTGCCCTCCCCAAGCTCCGGAAGCTTTTTCTGAGCCTCTGGGAGGGCAAAAACTGCTTCTCCCAGGCTCCAGAGGCCCTCTGGAGGCTGGAAACAGGCCAGTTTCCAGACTTCGGGAACCTCCAGTAGGCCCGTTTTTTGTCCTCCCTGAGCCTCCATGCGGCCCTGCACTTACCTTGTATGATGAAGAGACCACGTGGAGACTCCTGGGAGTGGTAGGGTGGGAGGGATGGAGTGGGCGGAGCCAGCCAGGGATGGCATTTGTGGGTTCATCGAACTGGGCAGAATCCTAACTACAGGATCATCCGAACCTGTGCGAACCCCCAGCAGCTCACCCCTGTCCTAAACCACATGAAAGCTCATCCCAAGATACTTTTCTTTTCTACCTTTGGCTAAATCTAAGGGCTGACAAGAATACCTGCCATGGGAATGGACCAGATTAATCCAGTTTTGGGAGCTGACATTAACAAAGGATTTCCTCTTTGCCAGGAAAGGGGATTTCCTGTTCTGTCGTAGTCCTAATAGTCAATGGATTGGAGGGGGGTTAGGATTTTTTGGATTCTGCCATTTTCTTAAGTAACCATATAAGATCACTTGGGATTATAGTAATTGTTACCACAACGCACCTGTTCAAATGGACTTTTGGCTTTGAGTCCGCTCCCACCAAGGAATATCCAGTTGTCTCGAAAACTCATCTGTGAAGCGTATTTGCTTCCTAAATCAGAAAATAACTTCCGGGCTTCATCATTTAGCCTGAGAGACAGAAAATCATTTTGTCATATTTTTTTCTTTAACACAGCAATTCAAAATGTGGAGGATAACAGCGGCAGAATTAGCAAATTGATCAATGCAACACTTTAGCCTTTCAGAAGATGGCAGAAGACCAGTGGTGGGATTCAAATAATTTGACAACTGGTTCTCTGCCCTATTGACCAGCTGGGTAGGCGTGGCTCAGTGATCATGTGACTGGGTGGGCGTGGCCAACTCAACATCACACACTTTGATTGTCACTTCGCCTTAGCTGTACAATGTAATAAGGGTTAACCAGAGAGGCAGTTTCTGTAAGCAGGGGAATAAAGGTTAGGCTAG